AGACCAGAGCCGACGGGGCATTTGGCTCTGGTCGTGGATCTTCGCAGGGTCTCAACGAAACCATGCAAAATTATATATCGTTGTGATCCTCATGAGACGGCCAGGAGCCCTGACAACGTCGCGGGTCTTGAAAATCACTCCATAACGAGGTAGACCAGCATTCATATGGCGACTCTTTGCGCAAGATTTGAGCACAGTTTTTCGTTTTTATTGAACTCTAGCGGCTTTAATAAACTTCCAACATTCAACCGCAGTTCAGAGAAAGGTTAGTTGAGAAATTTTGCCCTAGTTTTTGATTGAATTTTTAAATAAAAACCTTTTTCTCAACAAAAAAGGCCATAAAAACGCAATCCTTCGGTTTTTTTTGAGCTTCTTCTGAATGTCACTGTGTATATGCCTCATTTAAATTCATTCCTATACGGTTATGTCATTAGTTATGTCATAATTTCCGGGGCTTCGTCCCGGATGACTTCTGTACTTCTCCTCAGATGGAGGTCGTGTTCTATCATGACGCTCAAAGTGAAGGTTACCAGAGTACATGACTCTATGTATCGAAGGTATGTTCTTGAGTGACGTCCTTTGCAAAGAGCGGAAATGGAATTGGGCGATCTCGAAGACGATTTCCTACGTGTTTCTTGAACGCACTCAAGGCATGAAAAAGGACTTGAGGGAAGAACTTAACAAGAGAAGAAGAGCAGCCTGGGCCGCCTTCGGGCCTCTGAAGGAAGCCACCGACCAACTGACGGACCCGGAGCTTCGTGCCCACCTGGACTCAACCGTTCTCCCGGCGCTCTGTTACGCATCTGAGACTTGGGCTGACACAGTAGCCACGTCGAAAGCCTTACGGACCACACAGAGTGCTCGAGCGCAGTCTTCTGCAGATGACTGCGCTCGAGCACTCTGTGGGTGGTCCGTAAAGCTTTCGCGGGTTTCGCAACGGATATGAGAAGAATGTCCCGTTTTTGTGACCCAGCGGAATACGTTACGAAAACGAAACACCGATGAGCCCGTCACATCATGAGAAGAACAGACGACAGAGGGACACTAAGAACATCGGAGTGGATTACTCGCGAAGCAAAACGTCCTTCGAAAGATCACCGAGGAGATGAGCAAGCGGGTGTGAGGAACGGATTATGTACCAGCTGAGAAATTTTCTGGATACGACATTTGCACCTGGAAATCGTAGACGCGCCACCAAGACCATTAGAGGGACAGTAGATGTTTTTTTGTATATTTCGTCAAAAAATGTGTAAATGCTCGCTTTGTGCCAAAAACTAAGAAATAGAGAACTATGAACATCAGGATGTGCGTTGAAGCATGCATACCTCTAAAACCTGCCGGATGCCTACCTACCTGCCGAATTTTCTAAAAAGTGCTTTTGCTGCCCTGACATAAAGCACGCTTCATTAAGAACTGAAACGTCCCTTTATAGCTTCAAAAATCATCACTAACATAACCGGTTCCTGGAAATTCTAGAGGAGTTACACGTGCTTATTGCTTTGGAGTGTCTCAAGCAGAACTCTTTTGAACGTTACTACCCTGACAAAATGCTCTTTCATGCAGACTGTGCATCAAAATATTTAGCGCCTTCATTCAGTTACGGTTAATCAAATCAAGATGCCCTTATTGAAATAGTGAGCGAAATTTCTAAATGGAGCTGTGCTTGCCCTCAGGGAATGCCGTACGAATAGCGCATTCAAAAATCGTGAGGATGGTGCGACCGCGCGCGACACGCACGCACTTCCGGCGGCCGCTTTTTTTGGTTTTCATCCCTTTTCGAATGGTTTTTGTGCTTACTTATGGTAGTATTTAGACAATGAAAGTGAATGAGCTAAACATTGAGGTAATGCCTCTTTGAATGTGTGTTTTATGCTCCTATGAGCGCAAAGACCGCAGTCAATCCGTCGTCACGATTTTACAAATGGACCACATTTAAATGGTCCCTATTTCGAGTACGATTAGAGTCTAAAGGAGATTACAATTTTGAATTTCTCTCTCAACATTCGGTTAGTACAAGTTACACCAAAAGTCTTAATCAGCAATCTTGCAAATTTCTAACATTGCATCAAGGCTATTCCCTTTATCAGTTATCTCAAGATGATTAGACACTTCCAAAAAGTAGTTTTCTTAATTGGTAAAAATCTAATTCGGTCTTGCATTCGACATTATGAGCTGCTGTTTCTATCCAAAGAGTGCACATTTGAAGTCAGTGCAAAGCTAGGTTTTTGAAATTTTTCTTCGCATTTTTTGATTTCAAAAGATTTATTGAGCATGATAAAATATACCGTCGTAGGGTATAGAAACTGTATAGTCCGAAAAGTTTTTCGAAATAACTTCAGGCGAATTCGTTATACTTTATGGTACAAAACTTAAGTAATTCGTTATACTTTATGGTACAAATCTTAAGTAACAACCTAATACAATGGCGATTTCTAAATATTTTCTGATCTCAGTTCAGAACGCTCTTGATTTGTAAGAAACTAACGAAAAAAACTTTTTTTTACTTCCAAAACCCCTTTTTTGTGATTTGCTTGATAGCCGTTTTCGAGAGTTAGAGATAGAATCTCCAGCAATTGCAACTGTTCAGTTTCGTGAAGCTCTAATCCTTACTCTTCTTGCGCATTCAAAAAAAAAAATCGTGGCCTACCTACTTCTAGCAACCTACCACTTCAGAAAAGAATCCTCATATATGTATTTTAATACTTAAAAAAGATCCCTCATGTGTGTGTTGTTCTGTTTCGTAATGCAAGAAAGTCCATATACGAAACATATAATGTTAAGCCTTTCTGTAAATATTATATTATTCCCCAAATCAGGTTCCCCATAAAAAATACATAACTTCTGTATGTTTGTTGAGGTAAGATGTTTGCGCAAAAGACAAACATCAGGGACATCGGAATTGAGCCCCTTTTTTGGATGGATTAAGTAGTCCTTAGATGCACTCCTTTTGTGATCATTGATTCCTCCAGGGACCTTTTCTTCCTTCTTTTACTTTAGCGCTGCAAAGCTATGTATGTTGACATAACCCCACCACCAGTATCCTCAATGCAGTCATTTCAGTTGTTGATTTTCACTTTTCTCAACCTTGGAATACGCAATCTCCAACCTGTACTTTCCAAACAACCGCCATTCAGACTGGTGTTTGATGGACCTTTGACCTTTGTCGTGAGTGCCAAAAGTTCTATGGAAAGTTCAAGCCAATACTCTTCCAGAAATTTACTCGAAACATTTGAGAAATTCAATTTCTTTGAGCAGCATTTTTCAGTGAAATATTTGCATTCAAGTTCCAGTGTTTTAAAGTTTCTTTTTTACTGTGATTTGATTAGTCGAATAATTCTCTTTAGTCCTGTTACTACATTCTTAGCATTATTGTACAAAACATTGACACTTGATAGAAGCTTTACTTTTCCTATTTCTCACTGTTCTGCGTTTACGTGATTGATTATTTGGGCGAGAACAAAGGTTTCTCATTTGTGAGGCTTTTACAGCTTTCGTTTGCTAGAAAAAAAAGGATCCTTCGAGAATAGAATGTTTTTGTAAAAAATTGTGGCAACTATACTAATCAACACTTTTGACTATTTCGAACTTTATGGAAGCCCAGTTATGTACGGAGAATAATATTTCTTCCATAATTCAGTTTTCTATTTATTTCCACTATTTTGCTGTAAGTGGATGTATGAGAGATACTTCTTCTTCCACTTGGCTTAAAATCAAATACCTGAATTATTTCAAGAAGATGAGAAAAGATAAGTACTCCTACGATACAAAAAAGTAGATACAAGACTCTAGAATTGAGCTGAGCACAAAAAATTATCGATTTTCCATGAGAGCGTCTCAAAGCATTAGCCTTATGTTGCAAGTAAAATTTTGAATCATAGGAGTAAAAACAAGCTGTTACTATTTAAATTGTTTCTCTGGCCTTATTTGGTTGCAAAGAAGTAAGTGATTGAATTTTTTTTGCAAGTGTAAAGGGTCGGGCATACTTCATGGTCGGTTCCAGTCGCGACGCGATTTCGCAATATTTCAGCTGTCCATAAGCCATTGTAAGCACATTTCGAATGTACAGAAGATAGGACATTTTACCAATCCACGTAAGTTATACACACTTTGCATGTGCGGAATGCTGGTGTTGGATCTGAAGATTCTGGCGAAGTGCCAAATCGCGTCGCGACTGAAGTTGCGTGAAGTATGCCCGTCCCTTAAGGCCAAAATGAAACAGATCAAAAGTCTCATGAAGTAAATGTTTTGAATAAAGAAAAACAAGGTGCGGACATAAATATCAAAATTTTATTGAAATAAAAAACTGGTAATTTTTACAATAGTTTTATAATGCCATCTCATAATGTCATAACCTCCACCTTATTTCCCTACGATCGCAATTGGTCATTTAGATGAATATTCCGATAAAAACTGTCCGTATATATGTAGATCTTCGTCGAGATTGGCGTACAAAGAAAATAACATTGCATTAAACTCTTTAATATCAATCAATATCTATAATCTGTTCAAGGCCTAAGACCTCATTCGAGTTCTTTGTTGAATCAAAGTGTCGTCGTCTTTTTCCTAAAAACACGTCCGGGCAAAGTTTTCACAAAAAAAACTAAATCCGAAAAAGGTAAATATGTGTCATGTGGAAAAAACTATGGTCTATTTAGTAATTGAAGATGATTGAAAGTCATTTACAAGAGAAACAAACTCACACAGAAATTCAAATAAATTGCATTGACTTGTAAATTGCCTGTATTGAGAATGAGAAAGGCCTTTAGAATGAATCAATGAAAAATCATGAAGTGAGAACTCACATATGGATATTTAGAGTCAAATTGCCACGAGTCATTGTTTGTGAGAATTTTAGAATAAGAATGCATTTTTATTGTGTTTGATCAGCTTCAACGAAATACAGATCACCGTTTCTGGTTTCATAAATTTCATAATTACATACTTTCTAAATTTACAACTTTCTGAATTTGCAAACAAATTTTCAGATTGGGCGAATAGTAATGGGAGTACAACCAGAGCATGGAGGAAAGCCGGCTGCTTCAGCAAGCAGCCATATTAAAGGCATTCTTTACGGAGGTAAGTTGAACCATTTTTTGTGATATTTTTGACATTGGAACTCAACAGCTTCTTCTCGCATATTCTTACAAATATATTTATTGCGTATAACCTAGGAAGGATTCGTCCATATTGAAACGGAGTTTTTTGGTTGCTTACACATTGCATTAAAACTTTACTTCTCACTATTGATAGGAAGATACTGCGCTTTCTAGTTGAACTTGAAGCAAGAATCCACTTTCCCATATCACGGTGATACAAGCTGAATGAGAGAATCACCAAAATTGTATTTTATTGCTTTTTGGACTTTAAAAGTGCTAGAAAGTCTCAAAGAAAACCCAATTCTGTTTCATGGCTATAAATACTCTTTCAGTGAAATTCATAATTTGACTGCATGTTTCTACTAATATGACTTCCGACTCTTTAAACTCCAAAATTTAATTTTATTTTCAATATAATATCTAGACCGTCAAACTTTGATTCAACTGGCTTGGCGGCTGGAAGGCGGGACTTTGTGACCTAACCGAGGCCGCTCGCGCCCGCGACGCAGTCTGCGTCTCTCGTCTCGTCTCTCGCATGCTCTCCGATCATTACCTGGCCTTGATTAGGTCTCGAAGCTTCGCCTTCCAGCCGCCCAGCCACTTTCAAAGGGTAAACAGTGCACTTGTTGTAGGTTTCAAAAAATACAAAATGTATCATCAACGTTTTTAAGCATTTTTATAAATAATTTTTGAAACTTCCTGACTCATTTATGGATCCGATACAATTTTTCTGTGATGGCTCAGACTAACTTGAATACTTTGGAATTCTTCTGGATAGATGCGCACAGATGACTTTTTTCCAAACACATTTTCAGTCAATTTTTTGACTGAAAAACCAAAAGGACATTTCTTTCCTATAGCATCTTATCGCGGCTGAAAATTGGCTTTACTATACTTGAAAAGAATTTGAATTTTTGATTTAGATTTTCACTCTTTTATTGACGAAAAGCATCGATCGTTATGGTAAACGGTAGTTTTTACTTAGCCAAACAACATTTCTGCGGATTTCGTGTACATTGAAAAGGTAAACAAGCTTGTTTGCTTACGACAAAGCTGGTAAGTTAACACGAGCAACTTAATCATAAGTCAACTACAAACAAGTAACTAGGAAAAATACTAAAAAATTTTAAAACAAGCAAACGCACACCCTTTAATAAAAATTTTTTTGAGTTATGTAGATGTTAAGACACTGAATGAATAAGCTTTTAACTTTCATACTGTTTTAGCTATTCTGATAATTCTGATACTGGCATTAATAGCTGTTTCTGTCTGGCTAGTAGCACTTCTGAACAAAGCAGAAGAGATTGGATGTTCGCTTGTTTGTCGCAAACCTAGGTAGGTTTTTTTCTAGATCCAGTTGCAAATCGCTAAGATTTGAATTTTAGTCTCCTGCAACCGCATCCTCCACTCGTTGTTATTTCTCTGGATGGTTTTGCTCACAAATACTTGGCTCAGAAAATACAGCCGACGCTTGATAGAATAGCAGAATGCGGAGTTTCCGCCATGGTGGGCTTATGCTGCTGTAGATGTTGAAGATAAAAATAAGAAAAAATATCTACGTTTTATCTGTAAGAAAACAATTTCTACAAGTTTTTAGTTCACGACGTTTGTCATTGCAAGCTTGATGTCAACTAACAATAAGTTCAAAAAGAAAGGGTGTTATACAGGGTGTCCCAAAAAATGTGTCGAATGTTTGACCTTCAATAACTTCCTATGGAAAGCTTTCGCGGATCTTTGAGTGTTATACGGTAGAGTTGGGTTCAACTTAGAGTTCTAGTATAGAGCGAATCACCGATTTCTCTTGGTTACTGTAGGATTACGGTAGGAATTTTCGACTGCTTAAGCTTTTGACAAGCGAGAACTGCCTCTAAAAAATCCGACAAAACCGAAGGACGTTAAACTGAGGTTTTTGGGGATGCTGAGTCTAATTACAAAGTTTTTCGCTACTGTACCCCTCATTCTACGATATGCGCAATGTAACGCTAATTTTTTACGTAGCGCAACGTTGATTTAGTAAATTTTGGAAAAAACCAGAAATATAGCGTTAAACTGCGTAGAAAGATGGGTATTACGGTAGCGGAAAACTTTGTAATTAGTTTCAGCATCCCCAAAAACCTTAGTTTAACGTCCTCCGGTTTTTTTTGGAATTTTTTAGAAACCTTTTTTGGCCTATCAGAAGCTTGAAATTAGTCGAAAATCACTACCGTAATTTCACAGTGACTAAGAGGAATCGGTGGTTCGCTTTGTACTGTAGATCTAAGTTGAAGCTAGCCCTACCGTATGGCACCCAAAGATTCGCGAAAGCTTCCCATATAATAAAGTTATGAAGATTAAACGTTCGATATATTTTTTGGGACACCCTGTATTCAGACAATAGCTTGCAAAGGTCTGCTAAAATGCATAAGTAACTGCTCAAATAGTATCATATACTTGATAACCTCAAATTTTTTGAATCAAGGCCTTTGATGCGATTGAGATAATATTATTAGACAATAATAATATTATTTGTTACTGACGCCAAAAAAGACGAAACTCATTTCAAATATGCAATCCGAAATCAAAGATTAGGATGAATGTACAAAACTGTGATTGTACCTTACAAGGAAAGGATACCAACATTAGTCAGAGATTGAAGATGAGATGTATGTCAGTAAACGCAACTTTGAACGCTGATTCCAAATCTGCTTTCCCTTTTTGCGGAACAAGTTTCCGAAAGAAGTTGTGGGCGTTCGAATGTCCAAATTTGTCAAGGTTTAGGCGACCTAAAATTGGCGAAAAGCTGTACAAAGGCACCGAAAAGTGGGAAATCATTTTTGTATCCAGTATATTGTTTGCAAGGAAGGAGCAAAGCCGGTGGAAATCGCATAGATGTTGTTTTAGAGCCTTTCGTTGATTCTAAGCCACTCAATGCTTGGCAGATCTGGACATTCAAACGCTCAAAATTTCTTTCGGAAATTTATTCCGCAAAAAAGAAAAGCAGATTTGGAATCAGGTTCAAAGGCGCATCTAACGATATACATCTCATCTTCAATTGCCAACTAATGCTGCTATCCTTCCCTTGTTAGCAATCTACAATGCATTTCTCTGTATTTTTGTAAATGATCACTGATCATTCCTTAAAGGCCGTGTCCCGGCAGATTTTACGTTCTCAACTTTTTGCATTTTTGGGCCTTTTCGACCCGTAGACCCCGAATTTGAGCTTTGAAACGGGTGAAAAGACATTCTTCGGGAGCGTTTACCCAATTTCCAAAAGGCAGCTCGGACAAAAATTTCAACGGAAAGTTGTGAGGCCCTGGCAAGAAGATCCTGCTGGTGTCATTTTTTGCTTTGGATAGCGTGCACAGTGCGGGAGAACGCTTGTGGGGTCCCGCATTGAACGGTAAGCGAAGTCGTCCGAGCGCGCGCCGATTGGGGTTGCGCGCACCGTTCAAGAGCTATTTTCTCGGCCCAGTGGGAACATCAACAAGCCGGACTGCGCCGGCAGTCAGTGGGATGACCAGGAACCCCACCATAGCAATATCTCTCAGGGCGCGAATTTGCCGGCACACTGCCTTTAAGGGCTGGGTGTTTCGATGGCTCGTAGGCTTTACTGTAGCCTGAGGCGAATTGCGCCTGGTAGGGTGTGTTATATAGAACACATTAACTAATAAGCTTTATGAAGGCGACCTGCACTCGTGGGTGCTGTGGTAGAATGCTGACGATAACAGGCGGAGCAAGATAACTCACTGGTATCACAGCAGGTCATGCTTATGGCATGACCTTTACGGTACTTCGGTGGGAGTAAAGATACGATTGTAAGGAAGTGCCGGCAATGTCGGCACACTCCGGCCAGCGAGGAAAATGAACAGCGAAATGGAGCACAAATATACGTCTAGATACATCGAAGTGCTTCCTTTGTCAGAATATTGCAATGGATGTTGTCGAGGTGACGTTTGTCTGGATCTCGTAGAGGTCGTTGCTGCACTGCGACGCGATTGAAGATGAGGCGCCGACGAGTTGAGAGACTGTCTTGAAGTGGAGAGGAAGACGAGTGTAAACTAGAACGGTGTTTACTGCGTTTCTGTAGATTAGCATATACTTGTGAATACGTATGGAGAGGTTCGCGACCACGCTTCTTGTCGTGCTTCATCGTCGAAATTGCAAACTCAGGAATGTCGCTTTTCATTGACATCAGTGCCTGTGTGTTTGCCTGTGGCATTCCTGATGTAATGACCTGTGCTAAGGCCATCCTCCAGTCTGCGGTAGCTTGTAAAATTGCCATCACTGTTTTCAGCCTCGATCTTGTAGTTTTTGGCGTCTTTTTCACTGCCGCTTCCGCTATTGACATCTTGCATCGCATCACCAATATATTCCTCTTCTGGAATACCGCTGATATGGTTCACCTCTGATGGTGAATCATTGTTTTGATCATAAAGCGGAATACCAGCGCTCTGGCTTCGTGAGGCAAACGATCTTCTGCATGTTAACCTATTAACCATGTTAACCTATTTAGCTCCATCTCGCATAATGTTATACGGGCTTGCAGAAGATGAACAAACAAGCGAGCGTCAGAAATGGTTTTGAAAAATCTTATCTCTTTTTTGAGTTTGTCCCATTCCTCCGCCATCACCTTCTTCGCAGCTTCGTGATTAACTTCCTCGAGCCTTTCCATCAATATCTCGTAGTCCATTTGTAGCAATTCGATGCTCTCTTTGATTTCCTCTGTACATTTTGTAAGCATATTCAGATGCGAGGTGCCTAGTTCTTGGCGCTCTTGATCGTCTGAAAAATTTTTCTTCTCACCCTGGCACGCGTACTTCTGCAGTAAATCCGCGAGTTCCTTGCTAGAAGTTCTGAATACATTTGTGAGGAACGGCGAAATCCTCATTCTTGTTGCTGTTGTGGTGCTGCTCTTAAGCAAGCACGTATCGGTCTTATTTGGCCGATGCACCAAATGTTTAGGTGGCTCGTAGGCTTTACTGTAGCCTGAGGCGAATAGCGCCTGGTAGGGTGTGTTATATAAAACACATTAACTAATAAGTTTTATGAACAGGCGATCTGCACTCGTGGGTGCTGTGGTAGAATGCTGACGATAACAGGCGGAGCAAGATAACTCACTGGTATCACAGCAGGTCATGCTTATGGCATGACCTTTACGGTACTTCGGTGAGAGTAAAGATACGATTGTAAGGAAGTGGACAATGTCGGCACACCGGGCATACTTCGCCCGATTTCGGTCGCGACGGATTTGGTAATTCGCCAGAATTCTACAGATCCAACACTAGCAAGCGGTATAATGTGTATACTTGCGTGGCTTGGTAAAATACCCTATCTTCTATATATTTAGAAGTGAGTTATGAACAGTTGGAATATTGCCAGATCGCGTGAAGTATGTCCGGCCCTTTATCCACAATGTGCAAATCTCTGTATTTTTTTCAAATAATCACTGAACATTCCTTAGTCGTCTTAAGATAGGGCCAAAACGAAAAACTCCTTTCTTATATTTTTGTTCTTATGTAATTCGCATTTTATAACAATTTTTTCTTATACTTTTGCTATGTTGCCTTCGAATGTAAGTCATTTTTCAGGTATTCCCATCCTTCCCTTCCGCAACATTTCCTAATCACGTCACGATGTCCAACGGTCTTTTTCCTGGACGCCATGGAATCGGTAAAACCCATGTTTTTTATTATAAAAGTCATAAAGTCTTTATTGCAGTGTCTAATTCCATATATGATCTCAATTTGAGTTCAGAGCCTGTATACTTGGGTACATCATTTGCCGATGGATATTATGTCAAGGAACCTGTAAGTGTAATTTGATTGGGGCACGATTACTTTGATTTTTGTCGTAGTTTTTCCCTTATTAGATTATTTTTCGGAATTAGGGGAGGGGGAGGGGGATTGGTTCGATTATGTTCGAAAAGCTTTTATATTTTAAATAATAAAAATTTCCAAAGATCACAAGGAACATCTGACAGCATAGCTGCTATGAAGTTTTCAAAATAGGATCAATTTTTCAAAATTAAACATTCAGATATGGTCTATTTACCAACGGGAAACTAAAAGACATGCGGCTGCGATCTCATGGATAGGAACGTATCATAACACTACATGTAAGTTAACAAACTTACTTACTCGATAAGTTTTTGATGACAATCAGTTTAGATTACCAACAGCCACATTACGTGGTACCCTTTGATCCGAAAATGAGCGCAGACGAGAAATTTGACAAGGCAAGTAGTATATTATTAGAATTCAAAAATTCAGAATGATCAGCCATTGAAATAAACGAGATATTTTTCCATTTCATTTTTCACGTGTTTTTCGATTTTCCTTTTATATAGTTGCCTAGCCATTGTCACAGAAATTTTCTAACTTTTGTATATTTTATCAGTTTCTACATAGCTTTCTTGTATTTTTCTAGGCTCCATACGCTTAGATACTAGGTCCAAAACCTGGAAAATCTGTATTTTCCTGGACTCCACGAGCTCAAAAACTAGGTCCAAAACCTGAAAATTATTTCCCTACTTTCATAGAATCTGAGAGAAGATGTGGTATTTTTAGGAACGAGTAAGGTATTTTTGAGGTTCTGCTACAAAAGGCCTTTCAAAAATATGGTTCGATTTATAAAAAAAAAACCTTAGCAAACCAGTTGTGACCTCTTTCTCATTCCTTTTATACTTTTCTTCTGAATCATGAGCATCCAAAACGCAAGGGGATGCAAGAAGTGGACTCACCAAAAGAGATTTAGCACTCGAATATCAAAGGCACCGTCCACTCAAAATCTCGAATTCAATGTTTTTGTCGCCTTCAGGCCTTCTGAAAGCTCTGATTCCGAATGTGGAGTCGAAAATCAGCGAAACCCCCAAAAATCGCTGTTTCGAGAACTCTCTGCAACAAGCGCAGGCGAGATAAAGCATGCAAGTTGGGGGGGGGGGGCGAATGGTCGCCCGCCTACTTTGCTACATCCGGAGCAGATTTCTCGCTCCAGAAGCGGTCTTTTGCGGCGAAGCTTGGGGGTTTGCCTAGCTTGGAGCCCACACTATTATGCCATCAAAATCTCGCCAACCTCCATTTTGGGTAAAGGACTGCGGTTTGACTTTTAATTGGACGTGCTGAATATTTTCACATATTATGTTTATTTCCTATCAATAAATACAAACTTCCCAGCAAATTTCCACCCGGCAATCAATAGAACTCATATTCAGGTGGTAGAATATCTGAAACTAGATGATGACGAGCGGCCCGGTCTTATCATGGCTTATAACACGGAGCCTGATGCTACAGGTCACCAAGCATCGGGTGAAAAGGTAAGATTAAACTTCCTCTGACTTCTTCACCCTTCGAAATTTATTCCAGGTATATGAGCAAGTACGGTCGGTAGACAAATCCATTGACCGCTTACTGGGCAAGCTGAAGAAAGAGGGCATGCTAGGTTGCGTCAATATAGTTGTCGTATCTGATCATGGTAAGCGCTTGGTATACCTAATATATTGTTAGATGCTTTGCGTGTCTTTAGGATTGTCAGTGATCAAAAATCATGTTGTACTAGATGAAGTACTAGACACACATGGTTTTGTGATTATACCAGGCGTCAACACTTTGATGTTCCGAAATGGGTCAAGTAAGTCTTTTGCTTAGGCTCATGAATTACACGCTAACCTTTACTTTTTTGTTATAAAATTTTTCTAGTAACGGTACTGTTTAAGTTGAATTCAATTCAGTGATAGTAACTTGGGTAAATTTTTTAGAAAATCTAAAATTTAGATGAGTTTTGCAGAAAATGTCATGAGATTGACTCTTTTCTCGAAATTTTCATGCAATATGCTATCAAAGCATCCCATCCGTTTCCACCCCCCCTCCTTTTTTTTGAAATATTTCTCAGAGTCCAATGCTGTATAGCGATCTGTAAATCTGACAGCGCAGTAACATGAAAATTTTTTGAAAAGCTGTTTGCTAATACTCTCCTCTGTTTTTTTCTTTGACGTTTTCCGCTCTGAGGGAGAAAGACTGCGAGGCATGCACTTTGACAACTGGAAATGCTTTGAAAAAAATTTTTTTAAACAAAAACCAAAGAAAATGCGTACGGCGGTTACCACAATGATGCTGAATGTGTATAACTTACCAATCTATCAACTACTTTCATCGATGTTGTTGACCTGGGTCTGAGAAAGTGTTGACTATTTACATGACTCCTGCACTTTTTATTCCAGACTGAACAAATTTGGTAAACAGAAGGTCAACGAAGAATTCAGATGCGAAAATACTCGAAATCGATTTTTTTGGCACAGCAGGATACAAAAAATTTGTAACTGAGCTAGGTCAGAAAGCATCGAAATTGCCACTAAGATTGAATCCTCAACTAGATCAATGAATCTAAATTGCGGTAAAGTCGCTTGATTTTTCATGCTGGAAGATATTTTTGATAAATAACGCTAGCCAAAATTATGTTATCGATCTTATATTTCTATGTGCTTGAATAAAGGTACTGTTGTATTCAAAATATATTAGGTCGTTTCAAAAGTAATTTCGCTTTTTTCAAACGGGCGCCACATTTGATGGAACAAAGATTTCTAAGAGATCTTGGAAGCATTCGATGCAGCATTTCATTCTCTTTCTAATGGATATGAAAATGTTGCAAAACAGTCAACGAGCTTTCAGAAAATAACCAAAATCTGCGACCCATGCTTTTTGGGATGGTCAAGTTTCACGATTTTTCAAACCTTTCATATCAATCCTCAGAAGGAGTTCAAGTAACGCCTATGTAAAGCAAAACATACAGAATGCAAAACTACTTTTTTCTCCTTTCCATAGCTTGTCCTACATTTTTAACAGAATTTTAACTGATGCTACCGATTTCCATACTTGGGCAGCTAAATTCTCGTAGAACATCAAAAGAAGAGCAACTCGCGCACTATTCGATGCAGCATTTTCTCTTCTTTCTAACAGGTGTTTTTTGTTTCCGATTCGTTTAGTTCCCGGGGAGAAATCATCATAACTCATTTCTTTAGCGAGCCCCAGGCTGTGCCCGAAAAACTCGAAATTTGATATTTCGAACCTGTAAACTCTCATTTGCTTTGTAAAATCAATATTAAGTCGTATATCATTTTGAAAGCTTGAGACTCCGAGTAATTACTGACGTTTGATGCGATTGTGGCTGAGGTGGGCCTGCCAAAATCCGATGGTTCTGTTGAAAAATCTTTTAAAAAATTACGGCGAGCTACGTGAAAGAGAAAAAAGTAGTACTGTATTCTGTAAGGCTTACTCTGTTAAATCTTTACTTGAACTCCATCTGAGAATTGATATGAAAGTTTTGAAAAATCGTGAAACTTGACCATCTCAAAAAGCATGGGTCGCAGATTTTGGTTATTTTCTGAAAGTACATTAATTGTTTCGCAACATTTCATAACCATTAGAAAGAGAATGAAATTCTGCATCGAATGCCTCCAAGTTCTCTTAGAAACTTTTGTTCCATCAAGTGTGGCGCCCGTTTGAAAAAAGCGAAATTACTTTTGAAACGACCTAATATATTCCTCGTTTACAGATTTGACGGACCAACAAATAGTCAGCTCATTGACATGCAAAGGAACAGATCATATACGCGTATTCGATAAAAGAACACTGCCAGTCAGATTCCATTTTAGCGAATCAAAAAGAATTGGTGACTTCGTCATTCTTGGACATAAAGCATCAACCTCGTATTTGTAAGTTCTTTGAGGAGATCTTCTAAAAACCCCTACAATCACTAATCAACCACTTTTGTAAAAATTTTGTAAAGCATTCTCAAAATCTTTCTGTAAATCAGTTGAAAGGCTCTTTTGTACTTCTTAGTTTTGAACCTTGCAAAAAAACAAATAGAAAAGGAGAATTTACTTGGTTTTGTTTACCTTACAGAAGAAGAAAACATAGCAAGGTTATCAATTTTCTCAATAATGTTCAGACATCGCTCGGACATCAAGCCGGAGCACGTGGGTAACCATGGTTTTGACTTCGTAGATCCTGACATGTTTACCATCATGTTCGCTAGAGGACCCAGTTTCAAACAAGGGACAGTGCTGCCGAATTTCATGAATGTAGAATACATGAATTTATGGACAAGTGAGTTTTTGAGCTAGGCATGAACCTTTCGAGATTATATTGCGCAAAATTATTATCATGTTACTAAATAATTATTTTCGATGATTCAACTTCTTGGAAGCATCAAAATTGATGCTTAAGCATAGACTTTTGTTTCACGTTTTATATAGATGAAAGTATGACCTACAAGAGAAAAAAATATTGAGGCATATGTAGATTTTCTGAGTGATCAGCTTCACATGGATGGAAATTTATAGTATTAGAGGTCATCGTAATTAAATCAGCGAACGTATTATCATAAAAAGGTTTCTGAAAAATTAGCTCACCAGTTTAGATTTCGAAAACGTTTGTGTAAAAATTATGCGACGTTTGCTCATTCATATGTTTTACTTCACAACTGAACAAATCTATTCGTCTCTCGGGTCTTAAAATTGTATAAATTATTTCAATGGCCAAAGTGCTGGACTCAAATATCATCTCCATCGTGTGGATTATGAAATTTCTGCTTTATCATTACTGTTTTGACATGTTCATGTTTTACAAAATAGCATTTATGAAACTAATAAAAAACCAAAGGAATTCTTTCCTTTCGGATCCAAATACTCGATTCAGAACTGCTACAACTGTCAGCACAAGAAAATGATGGGGATCCAGACTTCATGAACTTGGCATTAGTTTCCGGTGGTGGAGCTCCAAAGAAACAACATTTTCCAGTAAGGTGACAATGTTTCTTCCAAGTTCGTTCGATTTGTTATCATGAAAACTTCAGGGTATGTAAAGCTACCGATAATTATATCACAAATTCTTTGGTAACAACATGTGGAAACTGCACCGATGCTGATAAGGTAACTATCTCAAAAGTTTCTACACTTCCCTTTGTCAAAATTTTTTTCAGCAAGCATTCAAAACTCGGGTAATATGTGAGGATGGTGGATTGTTTAAGTCAATGATTGTAACTTCTGATGACCAGAGCTTTTGCTACCTATCAGAATGTAATGAAATGGCTATTATAGATAGTACTAGTGGAAATGGTAAGCTTTGCTTGTTTGGCTAGCCCTGTTATATCTTTTCGAAATATTCAAGATTTCATCAACTTTTACAGCTAATGTCGCAACTCTGATCGAGATGTACGATGGCAACAACAACGAGCAATTACTTGATAGTCAATGCACATTCCATCTAATGGAACGAACAAATCATTGTGCGAACACAAGTTCTAGCGAAAATGTGAAGCACAGAACTTTGTCAGCGTTTCCCGGGCGAGGTAAGGATACCCCTAAAAAGTGTCGCTTTTAAACGCTGAAAAGTCTTCCCTCTTGAATACTGAAATTTTGTTGAAGGAGGAAACATTTCTTGATTTCAAATCACGACCTTTCCGCAATGTGTAGAGTTTGAAGGGCAGCGTCCAGGCAAATCTGGACTCAGGGAGATTTTACGTGGACAATAATTTTGGGGCCCTAACTAAGGCACTGTCCAAGCGGCAGCGCATGTGACTTACTAACGGCTAAAATATACGTCTCCAAACTGGACCCCAGGATCGTACTCGCATGGAATGGCAGTTTCGCGCGAGGACCCACGCGTTACGCCATGAATCCGTGAGATATGCGATCCTGAGGTCCAGTTTCGAGAAAAATATCTCAGCCGTTGAAGCACTACCTGAGCTGTCGTTGGGCAGTGGCTTAGTTAAGCCCTGAAATTACTATCCACAGGGATCCCCATGTGTCCAGACTTGCCTGGACTGCCAACTCAGCTCAGTCACTCCCAATGTCTGAATACTGTAAGAAGAAAAACCCGGGATGAAATGAAAACCAAGAAAATGTGGTTGTCGGGAGGTGCGTGCGTATCGCGCGCGGTCGCGCCATCGTCCCAACTGCCCTATACGTGATGGTTCCGTGTCCGAACCAAAACAGTCGAGTTTTGCAAAAGAATTCTCAATGTAAGCTCTGAGCATCCCTTCATAAAATTTTGAATGTTTCGCAAATTTTGCTGATTTTTGTTTGTTTGAAGATGTTTACGACTCCTGATGTTTACTATCTAAACGTTTACTCTAAATAAGTGAATAAAATTTTTGGGAAGATGAAGCGACACAAATCAGGATGTTGTTTCCTTTCTGTCGTTTTTAATTCAGTTCTAAGTGCATAAGAAGTCTGAGTTTTTCAGCACCCTCTGAGTGAAAGTTCTATTCAGAGAAATGGCTGATCGCACCTTTGATACATTTTGTAGATTGGTCACTTTGACGCTGTTCAAATTCTTTCTTGCCTTGTTTGCTTTTTTTGCGATCTCCACAAACATAGAAGAAGAACACCAAGTCAAATAGCGTAAAAGCACGGTCTTGAAACCATTCAAGCTAATTTTATGAGGAGTATGGAATTGCCTAAACAGCTTGGTTGGAGGTGTTAGCGCAGAACCGCCGATTCTTGCTAGTAGAGGATCCAAACGTTCATTTGTTCGCTTCATTTCGTCAACAATCTCAGAAAATGGAAGCACTTCAAAATGTTTGATGACTCATAAGAAATCATAGCTGAGTTGCAGCTCGGAGATTATATTCTACTATTGAGACGCAAGGTCGATAATTTAATATTTTTTTCAGTGTTGGCAAGCAACGAACAGAGCCTCGTTATACCATGGAAGACAAAATTCATCAAAGGTGGGCAAATAGATCTCGTATGCTTGAATACGGGACAATCTATCTGTGTACTTCAAAACTTATAGATTTTTCAACGATATGAGATTCAGCAAAAATTTTTTGCAGATGTTCTCGATTCCTTAAATGAATACACAAAAAACATAGTGAAGATTTTTGGCAAAGTAGTTTCAATTACGGGAACGGCCTTTGATGAGGATTACGATGGCAGATACTCGACTTCTGAGCTCAACTCGTAAGTTACAGTTTTTCAAACTGTTTGTCAACTTCACAGTTTTCTCCTTGCTTGCTCATAATTTCATACTGCGTACTTCAATTCAGGACAACCCCCACTCACCTCTACCGTATACTCCTCGCTTGCGATGGCGATTGGTCTCTGAACGGCGCCTATTGTCAAAAGCCGGAACAGACAAAAGTCATGTCTTTTATTTTTCCTCACATGGACGGAGACCCAAACTGCTTGGTAATAGATAGTGGACAAGTGACGAATGATAAATGAAGAACATTCTTTTTAGGATAAGAAGCAGCTACTTTTGCAGTACACGGCACGGGTAAAAGACGTGGAGATCCTCAGCGGGCTTCACTTCAACTTCACAAGTCTTTCCGACAAGCAACAAATGCTCCTCAAATTACATGTCAATACTGAACTGTGGTAGTTAAAAAGAATGGTTAGGGTTCGAATATGCCGTTGATAATTCACTTTGCTCCAAAGTGCACTACAGGTTGATTACGGTTATATGCGATGATGATGAAATGAAAAGATTGCATTCAGAATTTGTTCATCTCATAAATTGGTATTTGCATTGCAAGAGTACTATTGCTGCGTCGCGATGTGAGCAATTCTCAAGCAGATCTGCTGGGAATGCTGTATGCCGCTGTAATCGGTCGCTCCTCTTGCATTCGTTCTGGGACCAGCCAGGCTGGAAAGCTGCAAAGTGCATTGGCAATAGCTCCGTTGATATTGCTGGTGTGTTGTTTCAATGTGCTTGATCTCGTCACCAAAAACTCTCACAAAAAAGATGCTTCCGATTTGAGCAATTGAGCGGACATTCTCATTTCGGACGCGCAATAGCGCAGTGTGGTGTTGAGGTGGTAGGTAAACACCGCTGGAGTGGGGTGGGAGTCTCTGTTCCATCCGGACTTGGCTTACGGCTGAGCATAGTGGCGGAAACTCCAGCATCGTCATATGGAGCAGTGTCATTTAGCAGTTAATTTTTGTTTAGCTCTTGTGCTTTGATAGGCAAACTCATCTAATATAGTCGCCCTTATCATGATAGGGATGTTAGGGTGACCGCGCCGAGTGCGTGCAGGAGTGCACGTCGTTTGCTGACACGCACGCTCCATAGGCTGGACTTAGCAGTGTTTGACAATCGAACGTACATTTGCTGTGGCTTGTTTAGCTGGAGATCAGAATTGGTATATCCTTTATTTGACTAACGTTTCGGCGGTGCCTTCTTCTATCCACTAGGCAACTCCATTAGGCAAGCATCGCAGACAGTTTCATAATGATGCAGACATACGCTTGGAGTTCACGATCTTAGCGTATGAATCCGAAATCCTAGCGCGTAAGACTTTAAAGGCGTTTTTGATTACTGCCAAAAGTCCAAATTCGAATCGAGAAGATGAGTGCGTAGTGAGTACTAATGCATTGGCGCTTTATCAGAGCATTTGCGGCTTCTGAGGTCAAGTTGAGGTCAGGCGACTAGGTATATAAGAAAGTAAGAGCACAGGTAACTGGTACAGTGGTCAGCAATATCACTTTGTCGGCATGTTTAAGTAAGCATTAGTTCAGTTCTGCATTCACTTTCGAGTTCTTGGGTCATACGTACGTACGCACTATGCATCGGGCGTTTTCCTAGTCTTGAGGCGGTTTTTGATAGGATAGTTCACTTATGCATTCGATGTATTCAGACTCTGAAGAAGAAGATACCGCCTAAACGCTAGTCGAATAAAGGATATACCAATCCCGGTGTCCAGCTAAACAAGCTACAACAAGCACTACGTATGCCCGGGATTAAGCGACACGAACTTGGGCGATTGAACGTACGTTTTGGTCACTTGTAGCGACAACAAAACATTTTTTACACTTGCCCTTCAACATGAAAGAGTGGTGTTAGTGTGTGAAGTAATTTTCTCTGCCATCTTGTCCACTGCAGCTTTGAGCACAGGCTGGAGGATCTGATTCCTATCCGAGTAGTACTATATGCTTTGTTCTACGAAATGCTGACGATCACAAGTGTACAAGGATGGAAGGGCAAAACAAGAGTAAACCTAGGAGTTGTTCTGCTTTAACGTACTTGAAGCATTTAGTCCATCTGTTCAGATTTTGTAATGAAAACCTAATCAACAATCCGTGATTTTTGTGCCATAACGTGCAACAATGTCTATGTTGGTATAACCGATTCATCCAATCTAGCATTTCCTAACCAGGAATTCTGTTCGGGAGAAGACGCGACATCCAAAAAATTTTTTGTTTGCTTCCTGACGTTTTTACGGGCCCATAGACCCAAACTTTCAGGAAAAGTGCACTCAAAAAATTTTTTGTAAGACTAAATTGAATTTTCAAAAGTTTTGAATATTACATTACCATAATCTCACGAGTACAAGACGCGAGGTGTTTTTTTTCTAAATTCAGTCAGCCCAAACAGGCCAAAGGATATGGCGGCCAAGGAAATACATACAGTGCTGTGTATAGATAGCTAAGAGAATCGTAGGCTTAAAGGTCGCTGTTAAGCGGCTGAGCTGCTCGTCTAAAAAATCGAGAAAGGCGGGTTCTGTATTCGCGAAATTAGGGTGATTATTTACAAGTAAAAGCAAGTCGCATGCATATTCTTATAACTCACTAGCTGGCACAGCCGGCCAGGGCCCGGCAGCGTTGGTTTGGAGGATTTTTGAAAACAAAGTCCCCCATGACTCCGCAAATTTTTACGAAGTCCCCTTTGACCCCAAAATTAGCACACTTGAATTGCCAAGCCTTTAACACTCAAGAATACTTGTTTCCAAGAGAAAAAAACTTTATTCATGCAACTACGAACACAAAGAAGATGCATTTTGCTGACTTTGAAAACAATATGAACACAATAAGGCATATTTGCAGTCATTAAAGAAGTACGAAGGGCTTTTCAGAGGAGGTGAGCAAGCAGACTGAGTTAGTTTTCATGAGATCAAGAGGAGATCTGACCAATAACGACGACTTCATTTGAAGGCGAAGTGGATTTCAGTCTTGAGCAAAGCGTATCCTAGATTTAGTACTCGACTTCGTATGCTATGATCGTATGCTTACCTACTTTCCGTATAGTGATAGGAACGAAACGGAAATTAGGTAACTTTCTTTTCTTCTTTTATTTTATTCGTGACGAATTTAGGTTTTCTAGGCCAAAAATAAGAGCAAAAGCTGTGATGAAGTAAGTTTCGCAGACCTTGTGCGGAATATTAAAAGTCTCAGAGGGAACTGGGAGGTATCAAGCGAAATCAGTTTAGCAGAAATAGCAAGAGATGTGCGTCAAAAAAAGTCGCCTCATTTGATCCTCGGGGGGGGGGGGCACCCCTTCGTGGCCTAAGCCACGAAGGGGTTCGTATTGTTGGCCATCAGTGCAGGCAGCTGACGATACATCAGTGCATTCTGCGGGGGTGCGATTGTTTCCTGGTGGGAGTTGTTCCCATCACGGTCCTATTTTGCCTGAATAAGACTTTTGGTAATAGATATTGAGGAAGAATTTCAAATTCACATAGCGTTATTGAAAGAAAAATGAAATGAGCAGAAGCAGGAAATTCGTGAAGTGTGCGAGCCCGTCCACGAAGCCGAATGTCGGACAATCACATCTAATCGGTTGCACAAATCAAAAGTAGGATAAAATATTTGTTTGAAACTCAAACTTCAAAGTTCTCACCATCGGCTGTTGTTGGTACCCCTTGTTGTCCGACAAATATTGGCCATATGCAGGCGTGATGACTGAGAAACACAGAAGGATGACAACACATTTAAAGCCCGCAAGAGATCTAAGAAAAGTTGAACAAGTTGAACAAGGAAGACGTCCGTTTACAGTCGTATGACAAGAATGTAGTACATGCACTATTGTTTCAAGAATTCTGCATTGCATTCAAGCTTTTCACATTCGAATTTTATCGAGTCAAGATGCCAGAGCCTCATGTGCTTCTTCGGCTTTCAATCGACTATTCTCACAAAAACTCTTTCGTGCGGTTGGCGCATTCACATGATTATAGAAACAGATGGGAAATTCGCGTCAAACAGCTTCCCATTTTCTTATTTTCTAATGATTGTTAATTATGGTCACCAGTTCTCTAGTTCTCTAATTGAATGTTTACACCATTTGGAGTCAATCAACTTTTCACTGGGTGTCTAAACTTTTTACATGTATGGATAGAACTAGAAGGATTGAGCTAAGCCGTTACTAAAGCAGAAGCTCTGTGGTTCTTTCTGTAATCTGACCTTAAGCTCTCGCCCGGTATCGTATGCCAACGTCGCTGGTTGGTCCGCGCGCGAAAGAGCAGCGAGCGCTCACCATTAAAGCGCGCTTCGCGAAACACTTAACATCGTTCCAAAGTTATCTCCTAGCTAGTGCTACAGTAGTTTTGAATAGTAAAAAAGCACCAGAAGTTCTAGACTTCGGAAAAGTTGGTAAGAAGAAAATCGAGTGAGAGCGGATATTGCGAAAGCGCAGCTGGTGGCTGGCTGGCTGGCTGTCGGTGATCACATGCACACGTACAGTATATGCCCAACTTCCATCGGCTGCGAGATAACGTGACCGCTGAGATGCGATTAACGAGCCCTCCCGCCTCGAGCCCCCTCCCCCGGGGTCAAGATCATCAGATTCCCCCACGATGAGCAGCGGAAATGCTCGAACATGCCGGCTACGAACGCCGATAGGGCTCAGCGATGACAGCGCCATAACCGTAGTAATAGTAAGTAGTGATAGCAAACGATAAAAAACGATAAACTAAGAATTAGAGATAAACGTGGTATCAAAACTTCCCGAAAACTAAGAACTAACCTTGTATGACGCTTGAACCCCTCCGGAGAACTTTGAACTCATAATTCAGCGCTTCATTAGCTTCGAACGAGACCATATCTGAAATGAAAGCAGTTGGGATTGAAAACGAAAGAAAGGAAAAGACGAAGAGATGGGAAATTAGGCCGAAGAGATGAGCACACGGTGAGACAAGAAAATGATGCAATCGACGCCGCTTTAAAGGACGCTGTCGACACATGTGATTGTGGCGCGATATCTATCAACGCATAGATTTACACTATTTTTGGCGCAAAAGAAGAGAAAAGGCAATGGTTTCGCTCTCTTCACATAATAGATTTTTGAGCGTTTTAATCGTTCAAATCAAAAAGGTCCAAAACTTATGTGAACTCTCCGAAATTTATGCTCCGAACCAACCCAGTTGGTTCGGTGGTTGGTCTAGAAACCAAGAAATCAGGAACGGGTGTTCAGACACATAAGTTTTGGGAACTTTTTACATAACATAGTTTGGAGTATTGTATACTCATAGCCCAAATTCGGAGCCATATGATTGTTTGTGCGCTGTTAACAAGCCATTTGTTTGTTTGAGTCTTGCATTTGAAATTCGCGCGCTTGCGAAAGAACACGTTCAACTCGTGAAATCTGACATGTTCGTCGTGTTTTTTGGC